ATTTGCAGTTGGTTTTCGATATTTTAACTCGAACAGAGGCACACCTGAGCGGCATCCAATGAGGCGAATGCACTTTAAGGAACTGTACATCAATATGCATTCACAATGGCTTCGATTTTAATTTCACGGATCGAATACCAATGTCCAATGCTCCCACTGGTGGTGTAGCTTGCCCTTTTTGCTTTTAATTTTTAATTGAATATATATGTAAGCAATAAGAGGCTCTAGTCGGGAGTTCCCGACTAGGGGATACCCTGACCCTCTTCTACACACCAAATGCAGCTCGCGTTACGTTCTTGTTTGCTTTTTTGCCGATTGTTTTTTTTAAAAACTTTTGTGCTTCTTAACCGATCTTGATGAAATTTTCAGCAGCAGATCTTATTGTGTTATAGAATATTTGTATATTCTCAAGAAGTCAATTGCACTTAAATTGTAGTTTATATTGGTGGGCAATATAAATTGGTTTATTTGGTTTATGTATAGCTATGAGGTAGTAGCGGAGAGGTGGTGATAGCTATACAATTAAAGATACTTGATATATGTATACATACTATACTATCTACCAAAATTGCACAAAAAACTGGATTTTGATATCGATTATTTGTAGATGGGGAAAGTTATCGATTATGGAAAACAAACTCCCACTGTGCGGGCACTAGGAGCACCTACAGCTAAAATTTCAAGTCTTTAGTTCTTAAAGGTTCTGAGATCCTTGCGTTTATACATACGGACGGACGGACGGACAGGCATGGCTAGATCGACTCGGATATTGATGCTGATCAAGAATATATATACTTTACGGGGTCGGAGATGCTTCCTTCTGCCTGTTACATACATTTGCACAAATACATCATACCCTCTTTACCCATTTTCAATGGGTTCAGGGTATAAAAACAAAAATTAAATAAACAGCACTAATTGTCCGTACTGTTGGCGCAACTGTGGTCGTTCTACAATGGTATCTGAAATTATTATTTGGTTCATTTCGTTGCCCACCTGATGTTAATTTTCCTTTGTTGCTGGTATTTTTATTACTATTAAAAATTTTCCAGAGACATCTTTTTGCATGGGTGATAATCCCAAAAATTAATGCCAATAATGGCAATACTCTGAGCTAATATGCTGAAAATTAAGGTATAATTTATATTACCGCTATGAAGGTATTTCACTTAAAAACTTTTAAATGTAATTTTCCTATTAGAGAATATGCTACTACCACCTCCTTTAATTTGACTGCAAAGAAAAGAAATAAATATCAAAGATGCTATTATCTAGTTAAGGTAATTATTGACTGCTTTCTTCATAGTCTTTTAATTGTTGAAATTTTATTTGATTATTTTAACAATATTATATATAGAAATTTGAATTTGTTTGCATTTATTATAATTATGACGTTCTCAATAATTATTTATATAATATCTAAAATTAAATCTCTATCACTAAAAATTAGAAACAAGCTCCTTTGATTTCTAATTGCTATTACAGTTTAAAAATGTATCTTTATTTTGTTATATTCCATCTGATCATATTTCCTTGCTGTTGTATGAAAATATAAATGTTATAAAATTTTTTTTAATGTTGGCGATACGGACAACCGTGACCTTTAAACAACCCTCAATTTGTGCTGGCAGGCGAGCTTTCAGTTTTTTCAGCTGTTTGCCTTTTTTCTGCCGCGGGAATAAATAAAAATTTTACATTTGAACATAAAGATAAACGTTTATTTCGACTCTTTTTTTTGTTGATAACTACAAAAATATCCGCTGTTTTGTTGTTGCTGACTTTATTATTGTTGTTGTTATTATTTTAATTTGTCATTTGGAAAACTGCCAATTGGTGGCCGCCGCCCAACATTAACCAACAAACGAAATAAAAATGTGCATTCGGCGCCCACACGACTAAACAGACCGCTTATAGGGGGGGCGTAAAAATTTTTTTTCGCGTCTATTGTATCGTCGGCTTGCGCAAATAGAACGTGTGTATGTGGTCGGTTCAAATTTACTATCAACAAATTTAATTAGCTAATAAACACAATATCCCATACGCATACCCCAATACGTTGGGTGAATAAGCATCATACCTCAAATGCATGTTTCCCGGTTTCAGGAACACAAGATTTTTGATTTGCATTTCAGTTAAGATTTTGGTGAGCTTGAAGTTTTTCTAAATCTTTTATTAGGCTGCTCTTGAACTTTCAGGGTAAATTGCATTTAATGTTTGTATTATAGACTTTGCGCTTGACAGTCATTTTTTGGATTGTTGCCAATATAACGGCGGACGCCGGTCAATAATTTCCCGGGTCGTCCTCGCCCTGCAACAGTTTGTTTGTAAACTATAAACAAAAACTTAAAAATGTACAGTATATAAAATGATGTCATCACTAAGCTTAAAAAGTTCAGTTAGAACGGTCAGAAGTAAGAAGGTTAAGGTTAATTAGAACTGCAGAATCAAAACAAATTTTTGACTATATATAAAAACTTTTTCTGAGCGAATTCAATTTGCAATTTAATGATATAAACTATATTATTTCATTCGGAAACTCATTGATTTTCTATAGTTTTAGTTAAAATTATTGCATTAATACACTATGAATGTGTACATATACAAAGAGAAAAGGGCAAAAGCACTACATTATACAGATGGAAAATAATAATAAAAGAAAAAAACAGTATTATATAATATTCTTAACTGTACCAATGCCGAGTGATATACAGGACTGTGAGCAAAATCTCGATCCAGCGACTGACAGCACATAATTTATGGCATGCGACTGTTAGGTGTAACAGGCCTTGGGTGAGGGCTTTGGGGCCCCAGTCCAGGGCCAGAATGTCAACAAAGTGATTTTTTATTTTAATTTACCAAAACGAATAAGTGAAGAGACATACAAATAATATACGAGAATGATTTATGGACAGACCAGCTGTCGCGTGTGGATGTGGTAAGTGTCCGAAATATGCCAGAATTGTGAGCGCAGCGTATTGTGAATATGTTTGTGAACAAATAATTATATGTATACATAACTATGGTATGTCGCCTCTATATTTATTGTTAGTTGCCAATTAAAAAAATTAATCAATGAAGAATTTTTAATTAAGTCGCCAAACATGGCGTGCTTTGCACTTTAATATTTTTTTCCTTAATTGTTTATTCGATTAATGAAACAATAAGGCTATTGATATTTTCGTTATTATAATAATATGTGATTCTAAATAAAATTTAAACTAGAATCTAGAATTTCAACACCCTGTAATCATTTCAAAAATGGTATATATGTTTAAATATACATATATGTATCATACAAAATGAATCCGACACTGGAATTTATATAATAAAATTAATTAAAATTGATAGAACAAATTGCATTATTTTTGTATGTATACCAGATACTATTTTGTTTATGTAAAGCATTCAATGTCTATGTTGAATTTAAATAATTATATAAAATTTTAAAAAATTATAAATTAATTTCTGGTACTTGAAATCTGGTTACAGGATATCTCTCAGTCCAAACTGCATACCGCTTTAACTATTGCTCATTTATTTTCGTCTGTACGTGACTTTAACGAAATTTAAACAATTAAAATTCGAAATATGCTCACATAATTAAATTTTTTGTGCATTTTTTCAAAAAGGCTCTTAAAGCCAATTATAAATAAGCAGCTATACGCATGCTTTGCATGCCTGTTCCATGATATTTTATTTATTTTTTTTTTTTTTGTAACGAAAAGTGTAAACATATTAATCAATTGAAAAGTACAAATCGCATATAAATATAAGTATACACATAAACGATTCGCATATTTTTGTAAATTCTTTTAGGCTAGTCAATAACATTGTTGATATCATGATATCCCAAAAAAATACATAACTATGAATGTATAAGCTTGTAACTAATTCAATTCAACACCAAAAATTTAATTTCACATTATTTAACAACACAACTTTAATTTTAATTGTCAATTTTGTGTTGATTTTTTTGTATAGTTTATTCCTTAACACTTCTTAGTTTCTTAACACTTACAGCCATTTTATGTTTAGAATAAGAAATTTAAACGAATTTGATGAGCTATACGCGTCTTTGGCGAGCAAAATATAATTTTCGACTGACGCAAGTTGCAGAAACAGTTTTCCATTTATCCTAAGAGGCCAGAGATAATTTACGAAAATGCTGAAAATGTTTTTGGGTTAGCCTTATGCCACTGCCAGCAGCAGCGTCCACAGCGACAGCGACGCCGACGCCACGGTCGGCATTAGACGGCAGGCTTTTATTTTTTGTATTTCGATTGCCAAAATCGCCAGAAATAAAGCCAGTGTAGGAGGCAGCAGACTAACAAATTTAGATATGAGCAGCGGAAACTCTTAATGACGTCACGATGACAACACAACAACAATTACAAATTTTCAAAATACTAAAAAAATATGAATCAAATTGAATCTTTAGCAGAAGTGTGGCCAAGTTCTAGTGCAAGAAAACGAAAACTATTTCCCTTTCGTTTTTCGGGCGAATACATTGAACGCAATTTGCCAGCAATAATGTTTGGTGCTGAGTGCTCATTTGTATTCGTTGGATACCAGTTTATATATATATGTATATCATTTGTGCGTGGGCGCTTTCAGATGTCAATTTCAGGTGTATTATATTTGATGCAGCTTATAACTTATTGCATATTTTTGATGAATTTGCGCAAATCAAATACACTTGCAGGTAGTTTCATAAATGATTTTGACTTTGAATTTTTCTTGCGTCTTTCATATGTTTAAAAATGTTTTCGATGTCATTTGCCAACAAATAAAATGCGCAAAGTGCAAAGTTTTTTGTTCACGCTTCATTTCAGCCAAATTGACGGGCCTCACGAAGGTCACACAAAATTAAATTGTAATTTCAATTAAAAGTTTTCTTGACATTCAAAAGCGCCGAGTCTGCTGCAATCAATTTAGCTAAAAACGAAAATATTTCAGAGCTGGCCCAGGTGGGTACCCTCACTAGCAAGGCATATGGTGCCTTGGAAAGTTTGTCATTCCATTTGTTTATTAGAAACTAATTTATTATCAAGCAAAACATTTTGATCAAGTTCAAGTTAAAGTGTGCTGCCATTGAACATATTTTGATACACTACCAAAAATAAATATAAATAAGGCATCTGGAGGCACATTCGTTTATTTTCACACCTGTGTCTCACACATTTTCACACCTCTGATGTTTCTGTGCCTAGTAAGTATATTTGTTTTGCTGATATTTTTGGGGGCCGGTTATGTGGTGGCATTTAATGAAAAATCAAAGAGTTCAGTAATATGATGAAAAAAATTGAAAATAACTTTTGCTATAATTTGATTCGAAAATAATAATATTTATTATGTTTGTATACCCCGTATCCATTGAAAATGGGTCAAAGGGTATAATCGTTTAATGTATATGACAGGAAGAGTCGGTTTCTCCAGCCCCGTAAATTATTTATTCTTGATGAGCAACAAGAGCCGAGTTGATCTGCACCGTCTAGCCAAAGACAATATAAATGTTTATATTGTCTTTGGTCTAGCTGTGTTAAGGGTAAGTCGGGTACTCATGCCTAGATTACATCTACTTGTCATGTACATATGTACATAGTTTCGCCCCAAGCTTTACAATATCCATACAAACAAACATCTACTGTGAAATAATTTAATGTTCTCTTATTAGGAAACTATTTATTGGGAATTATAAAATGATATAAATATAAATCATAGTGGGGCTACGAAAATATATAGGATATATAGCATCGGAGAAGCATTCTGCACCGTGTTTTGTGATAGAAGGTTCGGTTGTTTGTAATGGCTGGGCTTAGGGTATCTTCAAGTCAGGAACTATCGACTATAATACTTTTAGTTTTTTTTTCATATTAAACAAAGTTGGATAAATTTAAAAATGAAGTTTACACCGAACTGTAATAGATAAAACATAATTTGATTTCGCCCAAAAAAAATTCTTTGAAAATACAAATATGTTAGGAAAAAAACAAGGCAACACCTACGTAAAAACCTTTTCATAGAACTTCTAAGCAAACAGCTGCCAAGGCTGCAATCAAAATTAATTGAGCGACTCAGCGCTCAGTGCCAAATCATCTGTGTGTAAATATGTACACATATGTACACATAATTGTGCGTGTATGTGTTTGTGAGCCAAAGTGAAGGCGTTCGCGTGGGCGTACACACATCGACCTACATAAATACATATATGCTGCTCTGACAAGTGGTGGTCCATGTGTATATTTGTTTTGTAAACGCCAGCAAAAACATTTGTGTATAAAGCATCAGATTTATTAAAGCACAAAAGTGTATGCAAGGTATATGTATTTTTTCATCACAACAAAACTTAAATGCTCTTTATTTTTATGTATTTAGAAATACATTAATGGTTAATAAAGATTTTTGAATGTTAATGGAATATTGAAATTAAATTTAAATAATAATTTACTCTTTATCAAATATATATTAAAAATTCTTCAAAAATTATTAGTATTCGTAATATATGAATATACTCCAAATAAAAAAATGATGCATCGACTTTATTATTTATATTATCTCCTTGATTAACTTTTATATGTCAACAATACTTTAGATGTTTTAAAAATGTATGTATATTGCTTTTTCCCCGCAGAGTATTCAAATCAGCACACAGCTGTTTTTATCTTTGGGCAACACAAGCAACTGTTGCTCATAAGTATGAAAAATTGTAAAATGAAAACTTTAAGAAACAAAGACGGAAACAGAGAACTAAGCTACTTATAGCGTATTTCTCCCCAAACCGCACAATTTAAAGGAAACCCGCACTTGAATCGAGGTCGAATGAAGTTGGGCCACCGCTAACAAATATGATCTCCACCATCTGCCTCAAGTTGAATCCCATAGTCTTAATTTAATTTTCTGTATTTTTTATAGCACACAGTGAGTCATTTTTTTCGTTGTAATTTAAGCAAATAGATTTCTGTTGACATCCTCTACAAACTTCACCGGATAAATTTTGTTTTGATCTGCTATTTTGCTCCTAACAAGTTTTGCGCAGTCTGATGCACCCAAGCTATTTTTTTTTTCTGTTTAAATAATTTCATAGTGCTTTTTCCAATATTTTAAACTTATGCAATAAAAATTTTGCGACTCCAGACACATTTTAAATTTTTTTCTATAAGCAGCACATTCTTTATCAAATGCTTTTTTCAGATGGAAGTATATTTTCAGCTCCCGACTAGAAGCTCTTGTTTAATTATGTATATTGTCAAAATAAAAGAAAAATTTAAGTTGTAAAGAAAAAAAGGGCTTAGCAACTAAAAAGTTTTCGTCATTAAAGAAAAATATTGGAACTGAAGCTAAAGAAATTCGCGCGAAATTCTCATATAAGTATATCACATACATACATAATAGAAAAAACAAATAACAAGGCTGTGGTCTGTCCAATATTTATTTGAGATGCACATTGCAATGCAAATAAGACCCATAGCATTTGGTCCTGGTTCTATCTGCTGATTTATGCAGTGTGGTCTATTCCTGTGTGTTGCTCCTAAATAAGCCCCCTGGCTGCTTGGCTGTAAATGTTTATCTCTGGCTGGTGCCAACAAACTACAAAACAAACAATTTTCAATTTATATAATTTCGCGGCCATATCTTTACCTCTCCGTTTATAGTCTATGCCCATTGAAAATGAGTAAAAAAAAAGGCATATTGCAATTGAGAAAAAATTGAGAAATTGAGAAATATATCTGCTTAGGCACCAAAAGTGAAGTGTAAGCTTTCGCTTAAATTGAAATATAATTATAAAATATTATAATTATAATTAATAATTATTAAATTATTAACTATTTTTAACCCTGGGTTGCTTAAGATACACGGAATCCCCATTCCTTACAAATTAAAATAACGCACTTACTCAGGGATATAGAGGATAATATATTTAAAACAGCTGCACGCTTGTTACAGGGTATCTTTTAACAGTGTAGTATCACACGTTAGCGCTTTAGCTTTATTTTAACTGCAAGTCCAGTGAGCAGTTGAATATATATGTATATTATAAAACAAAAGATAACTGCAAAATATGCAAGCTGTGGACAACACGCAAAAAATTTACAATAAAAACTCTTATAAAGACATAAATATATGCCACATACGTACACACAGAGTTTGCTATGCTGCTTGAGGCTATATTTTTGGCACGGGTGTCTGTATTTGTATCTGTATCTGCCGTTTCTGCTGCCAAGCCATTTATATTATTTTTCAGCCCAGTCTGTTTACTAAGAAGTCGAACCATTTGCATTGTAAATATGGGCCGCACTCTTCTTTTCCCATTCCATGCAACTGAAGCGTTAAAAATTTGTTGTCTTATATTTTGGCTTTAGTACAAATTTTGATGTGTTTATTTTCAAAATTTGCCAGCCCATTTCCGTTGCGTGCCCACGCACAGTTCTTTTTTATGCTCTGACACAAAGTTCACGGCAACGGACATATGTTGTCTATCGGCTTTGGGTTCAATAATTCAATTCCACCATTCATTTAACATACACACAACTCATTCATATTTATGTTATTTTATGGCCAATTTCAGATTTACTTCACATGTATTTTTTATGCGTTTTCTTGTGTTCGCCTTGGGGTTTTCTACTTTTCTGGCATTTACAACTTGACGCAGTTGATCAGACAAAATATATTTCTTGCAATTAACTGGCAATAAAACTTTGCAATAATCCAAGCATCACTATACATACACTTTAAAAAAAAATACACTAAGTTTGAAAAAATCGGCATTAAATGAAAATATGACAATATTAAAAAATAGGAGAAACTCTTTTTAACATAAAGGAAAATTGTCTTACTTAGAATATGATAATTAAGATATCCATACAAAACTCGACATTTATTAGTTTCATTATGCTTCTTACAAAAATGCAAAATCTTTTTAAGATCGGATTACTATATTATATTGATTTTAGGAAGAATCGATCGAAAATTAGTTTTGTATGCCAAAATATTTCTCTTTCCAAGATATTTTCACAAATCTCAACATTTAAGGACTTCCCTATTCTCAAATACCTGCAAAGCCGTAATCCAAATATCTACAAGGGAACTAAGTCTACGACGTTTAGTAGTTTGAAGTATGTAGTTTATCTCTATATATAAAACTGTTTGTCCTGACTGACTGATTGGTGATCAACGCACAGCCCAAACCGTAAGAGCTAGGAAGCTGAAATTTTCACTGTAGCTACCTTATGTGATGTAGGTGCACGTTAAGACGGGGTTTCGGGAAATTCCACCCGCAAGTGTGGAAAAATCGCAAAAAAACGTTTGTATTTTTTTTTTACCATCGGATCGGCCTCAAACTTATTTTCAAAGATCTTTGTTCAAATTCATTTAAGGGTTGTTTCACACTTTTAGGAAAATCCATTCCTCCTTGGTGGAAATGGAGGTCAAAGATTTGGTGGGTGACGTTTCGCGCTCAAATTCATTTTCAGAGATCTATATGAAAAATCAATTGAGACGTGTTTCACACTTTTCGCAGAATTCAAACTTCTTCGGGGGGAATGCGACTTAAAGATTTTTTAGGCGAAGTTTTAAGTTGTGTCCGATTTGCTTCAAACTTATTTTTAAGGCTCCATATAAGAACTTAATAAATACGTATTTCAGCGATTTGGGAAATTCCACCCGCAACAGTGGTAAATTGGCGGAAAACGGTTGTATGAAAGTTTTTTGTTTACCATCCGATCGGCCCCAAACTTATTTTCAATGGTCTTTGATCAAATTCATTTGAGGGTTGTTTCACACTTTTAGGAAAATCCGTTCCTCCTGGGTGTAAATGGAGCTTAAAGATTTGGTGGGTAACGTTTCGCGCTCAAATTCATTTCCAGAGATCTATAAGAAAAATCATTTGATACGTGTTTCACACTTTTCGCAGAATCCAAACTTTTTCAGGTGGAATGCGACTCAAAGATTTATTGTGTTTTAAATTGTGTCCGATTTGCTTCAAACTTATTTTCAGAGCTCCACATAACAATGTAATGAATACGTGTTTCAGCGATTTGGGAAATTCCATTCGTAACAGTGGTAAATTGGCGGAAAACGTTTGTATGAACGTTATGTGTTTACCGTCCGATCAGTTTCAAAATCATTTCAAATTTTTTTGAGAACATTGATTTTATAACATACGTGCCACGGGCAAGGCCGGGTTATACCCGCTAGTTTTTAGTTTTAAGAATTTTCTAAAATTTTTTAGATATTTTATATACATACTTAATCATTCAACCCTTATAAAACCAATAGGTCGGAAATAAAAATTGTAAAGCCATGTCTGTATATATGTATGTATGTACATATGTATGTACTGTTTTGCCTGCAACCAAAGTCGAAAATTTGTAAACAACTTGACAAACAAAAATAACTATTTTTAATTTGTAGTTCTTGTTCTAATAGCCTTGAAGACTGATGATTGGATGATTGATTTATATAAATGTGTTTGTCCTGACCGACTGAAGGGTGACGAACGCCCAAGCCGTCAATGATATAAAGCTGAAATTTTTACTGAAGCTTCCTTTTTGTGTCGAAAGTAAGCAGTCAGACGCCATTTTGGAAAATTAGACGGGCAAGTAGACAAAAACGTGGGTCAAACTTTGTATAAAAGAAACAACATACTACGCAGCCATTCAATAGAACTTTGCAATCGCGCTGTCACGAACTTATCTGCCTTAGGTCTCTGAGTGTCGGATGTCGCTGGCTCTCGAGTCCAGCAGCAACTACTTAGTTGCTTTGTTTAATTAATTTCTTATTAATTCACAGGAATATGTTAGTTTTGGCAGACCTCACACTGAGTACAAGGGTTATGATTGGAGCACATGAAAAAGACAAAAGACAGATTTTGTGCTCTCAAATTCAGGAGTATGGTAAATACATAGACGCGTCGTGGGTTTAATGTTAATGTTATTAATGCGGTTAATGTTTATTTTCAAGGTTGGAGTGAATTACACAAGCAAAGTAAAGCGCATTAGGACAATACTGCGTCGGAAAATAGAAGTATATGTATATGTATATATACCCTTTCTAAGAAGGGATATGCATCTTCTGCTTGTTACAGCGCTCCTGAACACTCGGCATCTCCCACTGTCAGCAATGTGTTTGGAGCCGGTGTTCTTTTTTTTGCAGGACATGCACTGTGGCTCCTGATAACAGTCCCTAGCAAGGTGAACTTTTCCTCCGCATCGCCGGCACAGATTTGATCTGTCCTGTTCGTTTTAGCACTGTCTCGCAAGGTGGCCAAACTCCAGGCATCTAAAACATCTGGTGATGTTTATACGTCCGCGGAACCTTGAGCTGAGCCACCCCACTTTCAGTGTACCTACTGATAGCGGTTTCTTCAAGCTTTCCGCTGGTAGCCTAATCGTGGCCGTTTGGGTTTGGCCATTCGCCTTCCGCAGGTAAATATTTTCTGGGGATAAGTCCAGTAGTTGCATCTGACCTCTCAGCGCCTTGCAAATGTCCTCTGTGCTCGCAATCTCGTCCAGGTCTTTACACTCAATACGATGGCACAACGTCCGGACTTCTATATTTTCGCCTAGCGTTCCGCCCGCCAGGGGCGGGTCTAAATGCTGTTGTTTGTTCTTCTGAATTACTGAGCTGTAGAAGCAGCTCTCCTATTTGGGTCCTCCTTATTTTTGCTACCGCTTTTCCGAATTCACTGAGCTTCTCGTCCGCTTTTACTCTCCTCAGTATCTCCGAGTAGCTCGCTTCGCCTTTTGCCGAGTTGACTATAGTATAGTATCCGGTCACGTATTTTCCTTAAGCAATCCCTTGCTCTTTTTGCGGGCGACCTCGTTCCAATTGTCCCCCTCTCCTTTGTCTCCAGTGAAATCGAGACGATATCCTGACTGTCGACTAGTCCCCTGATTCTTTTTGTTTGGGGCGTTCCTGCTGTGACCTGCATCCGTTTGATATCGATCGTCGTCTTAAACAGCGGCGAGGTGTGTGAGGGCTGATTCGTCCTTTTAACCGACTTGGCTCCGTCGTCATGTAGCTGTGTTGTTACCAGCTTGTACAGCACTCTGATGCTTTCTATTGCATCTGGCATCGGCTGATGGATAGAGCGCCGCTTGCCCTCTTCTAGCATTTCCACTAGCTTTGAAATCTCTTGCCCGAGGTTCCGGAGTGTTGAGCTACTATGAGTTGGCGTAGTTTGGTCCCGATTAGTGCTCGCCTCTGCAGCGACGGCTACTGGTTCACCTACGGGTGATCTCACCAGTTGTAGGGGTTGATTTATACTCATTTTGTTGGATCGCAATTCCTAAGCCGTTGTCCTTGTTCGTTGTACACTCGCGTTATGCTATCATGGTTGTGTTTGCAAGCATTGAGTCCATGCGAGGGTTGACACCCGCCTTCATGGGGCCAAGTGTTCAGAGCCCGATACGCGTTAATAAGGCATATTACTTCTGAAACTATACTGCCAACTAAATGGCAACGAGTCGATGAGCGTGCTTGGAGATTTGCCATGTTTTAACGGGACGGTGGCGGTAACAGCATTTGCGTAACAGTCATTTCGGCCAGATTTCACTCAACTTACCGACATGCTAGAATACTGTCAACCGTCAGCCCAGGGGTTGTTTAATCATAAAGGGTTATCCAGTGTTCATAACCCAAGACGTTACTGATCTCAGTCACAGTCGCCTTCTCGTGTTAGGTAGGCGCGTCACAGGTGCGCCTATCCAGGGGATACCATGCCACTACCGGAGGTCACGAGTTGCTTTAATTTCCCAGGGACGGAATCGATGTGGCCATTGCCAGGTTAATGGCATTCAGAATATTTTCGACTACTACAGGCACCGACCAATCACATCCCCGTGTCATTTCAGTCGCCTCATGCGACAAGCAAGGACTAGCTGTGGTGGTATTCTATAGGCTGCCGTGTGGAAACGGCGTGTGTGTCTTCTTTGTAATCACTTTATTAAGCATATATGAACGCTGTAAAGTGTATAAGCATATTTAAGCAATCTCATGTGTTTGTTTGACAGTGTACTTTGTATATAAATTGCACAAATATTTTAAAGGTTGCCAAGCCCACGTCGTTTTCAAGTCTCAGCTTCGGTTTCCACCTAAGGACAACGACATCAGAGCACAGCAGAGCAGGACCGAGCCAGACAAGACAAGGCTATGATTATAAAGTTTCCCAAGAATTTGTAAAATTTTTCGTAGACATCATTATGCGAATATTTCACTAGATCTCACCCACTCCTTCGGATGTGCAATAAACCCCTACGTATATTCCGCTGGCTCCAACAAAAACGTGGCAAATCTAAGTTGGGCATAATAAAGTTTTAATAATATGAAAATTATAATATATATAAACAAAAAATTTTTAAATATTTATTTTAATTTTTTTTTCTTTTGATCTGGCAAAATGAGCACTGCATTATTAAGCAAGTAGGAGCCTTTAAACGGGGCTCCCGACTGGGAGATACCCTGAACCGTCTTCTACCAACACCAAATGCAGATCGCGCTACGAGTGCTTCTGTCTTAGCAGAAATAAAATATTGAAATAATAAAAGAAAAGCTTGATCTGTAAGCAATACTATTCAAGAAGCTACATTTGATTACTCTAGCTCTTAAAACCTACGAGATTTGCTCAAACAGGATTTCGATATCGATTTTATCGATTGCTTGGAAACAGGACTATTGACTATCGGAAACAATCAGACGGACCTACGTTCTGAGATTATTGCGCTCATACTTACGGACGGTCTAACAGACGGACGGATATGGCTAGATCGACGCTGCTATTGATGCTGACCAAGAATATATATACTTTACGGTGTCGGAGATGCTTCCTTCTGCCTGTTACATCTATTTTCACATACATTACACCCTTTTCACCCATTTTAAATCGGTTCAAGGTACAAAAAAATTGATAAAATTATTTATTTTATATATAGTTTACTAAATTAAAATTGGGCAAGTTTATTAAAAGAGAATCCTGCTGCATACTTTTGGAAGTACATGTTTAACATATGGGAATAACATGGAAATAAAATAAAATATTGTTTCCGGTGGAGATCAACAAGAATTGAAGATGATATATTTGCAACGACCTCTGAAGGACCCTAGTCAGTACTTGGCAACCATAAATGAATAATAATAAATAACAATAAACGAGACGTAAGCCATATTTTACGCATAATAGCTAATAAAACACAGAGAAAACCATGGAAGCATAACAACAACGGCATCGCCATGTCCGATTACATTTAAAATGATAAAGGCGTGCCACAAAAAAATGCACGCCTAACAATAAAATGAGTCGACAAAAATAATAAAAAAAATAAAAAACGGAAATAAAACAGATAAACTAAAACACAAACGAGTCGAAGAATTCAGCTACGCTTTGGCATTCAAACTTAACAGGAAAAAATCTCCCTTCTAGCTACAAACAAGTAAAAGGTTATAGTCGGGAGCTCCCGACTAGAGGATACCCTGAACCCTCTACTTGTTTGCTTTAGTAGTAATAATGAAAAATGAAAATAAAAAAAAATTGTTCCCTTGGCAGGCTTCGAACTCGCAACTAACCGCATCACTTGCCGACCCCTCTACTCACCAGCCACACCAATTATTTAAAAAAAAAAAACCAAATAAAATAGTAGCACAGAAAAAAATACAATCGCAATTACAATGCTGTCGATAGAATTCAAAGCAGACGCGCATGAATGTGTGTGTGTACATGTACATGACTCTAGCTCTTATTACATACAGACGGACGGTCGGATTGACAGACAGACGGACATGGCTAAATCGACTCGGCTATTGATGCTGATCAAGAATATATATACTTTATGGGGTTGGAGATGCTTCCTTCTGCCTGTTACATACATTTGCACAAATACATTATACCCTTTTTACCCATTTTTAATGGGTTCAGGGTATAAAAAGACAATAAAAGCACTGCCCAAGGTTCCATTTTGTATTCACTCAAGCGTCAGGCCTTGGGTGCTTACCTCTTGACTGGTCACGCGGACCAGTCCGAGCAGCTTCTCCGACTACGACTGCGATTTGTGCTAATATATTTCACGCTCGAACATCTTTGGTGTCACACAAATCCGATCCAAAAGTACCAAAAAGTGCAAAGAAAATAAAACAGCATGGCAAAGGCTTACGCTCAGTAAAGGATATACTCGAGTTACCCTGCTTCTAAGATCTGTACCTACCTTATATCATGCAAATTCACGGTAAGTCGGGGCTTCGAACATTTCCACTGAAAAAACGACTGAAAAATGTTCATTACAACATTCAACATTCTATCTAATTCTCAAACACGACCGAATAGGTTTTTATTTGATATATTAATTGTAAAATTTTAGTAAAACCATTTCCAAAAAAAAACCAAAATATGTTCATCTATTTTATTCGGCTAGTTTAAAAGTTCTCTCTTATTGAGCGCAGGATCCTTAGCTCGTTATAATGTGTAAAAGTGATTAAATAATGCAAGCCATTTTAATAAACTAACAACATTCCTTAGGCCTTGCAAAAATGTTTGGGCTAAAATGTATGCGCTTTATTTAGCGGTAATAAAAAGCGAGGCAACAACCTTAAAAAATAATAAAAATGACAAAATGTTTAACTATAGCAAATAAAACAAAGAAATAACAATATTTGTTTCGATTATTTTTTATTATTTTAAAATTCTTTCAAATGGATGGATAGTGAAGGGAAGCGATAGGAGGTGCACTTCACATCCTTGTTGCTAACTGCATGACTTTTTGTTGTTGCTCAGGTGCTTATGTCTGTGTCGTGTTGAGAATGTAAATTGCTCGGAAAATGCGACGTATACAGGGACAATAAGAGCAGAAGCAGAAGAACCACTACAAAAATAATAGACGAGCACGTTGCATTAGCTCCAAGGACAACCGGCAGGTACGTGGTTTCGGCGTGGGGCGTGCCTGTTGCCACAAATGCCTGTCACTGTCAAACTAAAGTGTAAAAAAATGGCAGCACCGGAAGCAGCAACTGGCTAGGCGAGGTCAAAAGGTATTGCTCCCCTTCCCCTATATATACAGACAACAATGTAGCAAAATAACGTGTCTACATAAATCCTTTTAATTTGAATATTTTACAGTCGCAACTTAGGCGTCCTACCCATGCATGTCTGTGTCCCTTGTATAAGTGTGTGTGTGCCAGAGATGGGCCTAAAACGTGTGCCACAATAAGATCGACTAACAAGTAAGAGGCTCTAGTCGGGAGCTACCGACTAGGGAATACCCTGAACCCTCTTCTATGCTCGTTTACTTCAGCAGTAACAAAAATACAAAAAGCAAATTCAAAAAGCAGCACAGAAAACCAACATTCGCAATTGCAAAGCAAACAAAATAATTATAATATAAATGATAGAGCATTTGAATGTGTGTGCCTTTTGCCACCACAGGCACAAAGGGCACACAATTGAAGAAAAAAACTCTGGCTCGCGACAAACGCCGCGATCTACTTGTGCGCACATCCACACAACACAAACATATGTATGTTTGTAGATCTCGGGGTTTTTGAGAAGCTATGCAGGGAGAAGGAGATGCACACAAGTGCGCAAAGCAATATGTGTGAGCGAGGCGCACTCTGCACACGCATATACACATATGTATGTATTTGGGCTGAAAAGATTTAATACTAACATACATATATTACGAAACAGCATCAGCCGCAGCAACGTTGTGCGCTAAGCAAGATGCGGCTTCGTACTGAACGTTTGGCTTTTGAGGCTGGGCGTTCGGCTGCCACTCTCAGCAGTCTTACTCTATCTGGGCACACTAAAATGGTCGCGGACACCCATGGGGCTCAGTCGTTGACGATTTATCGGTATCCGATTATTCCGACGTTTGACAAGTCTATGCATTGTATGGTTAGTGCTATAAGGTGGTAGTAGCGGGGAGGTAGTGATAGCTATAAAATGAAAGATACTTGATATATGTATATATATATATATACTATTCTAGAAGTTACATGTCAAGTTTAGTGACTCTAGCTCTTTTTATTTACCAAAATTGCTCAAAAACAGGATTTCAATATGGATATTTTTAAATGTTTTTATCGATTAGTTGGAAACGGGGCAAGTTATCGAATCTCGGAATCAAACTCGATCTGCGCGGGGACTAAGAGGACCTACAGCGAGTTTCTAGCTCTTATTGGTTCTGAGATCCTTGCGTTCATACATACGGACGGACGGACAGACGGACGGATGGACGGACTGACGGACGGACAGGCAGACGGACATGGCTGGATCGACTCGGCTGTTGATGCTGATCAAGAATACTTTATGTGGTCGGAGATGCTTCCGTCTGCCTGTTAAATTCATTTTCACAAATATTTAACGGGTTCAGGGTATAAAAAATGCAAAACTATTGAGCACGTGTTGCAATTGTGAAATGTCGGAGCCAACTAGATGGTAACTCAGGCAAACATCGTACTCTATGTGTGTGTATGTGTGTGTGACCCAGCGACAACCGGAAACGCAATTGGCGCATGAGGTAATCACCAACATGAAATATTGAAGTTATCGTGTGTTCTTATTTTGATGGCTGCCTCGCTCTTCCATGAGGTATATAGCTTGTGTTTATCGTCGAATCTCCCATCTCCACCCTCATTCTTTCGTCAGCCTTGTATTGCGAGTGTCGAGTGGAAGGCGTATTGAGCTCAAATAAAAATAATAATGTTGAATATAAAATTAGAAAAGAAAAGTTAAGAGGCAATTTTAAAGGAGCATTTCATAGTATTGTGATATGCGCACATATAGAGTATGCACTGTATTTAAAATATATAAAACTGTCATACTGTAACACTTTGTTGCAGTGTTTACATATGCACACTTCAAGTGCATACATATGTAATATGACCACACATATATGTGTGTAGGCAACAACGCAGCGTCAGCGTTCCCACGCTAGCCGGCTGCGCACTACAATACATAAGTGCACATAACATACTCTCTTTCAGCGCGGCTCTCAATGCTGCATACATCTGTATATAAGTATATAATATACCCGCTCCGCTGCC